AGGATCTGACCTGGCCGTCTAGGGTCAAGGTATGGAACTGAGTGGACGTGCCTTTCACCGGGACCCAAAGGTCCTGACATGCTTCTTACAGATTGAGTGTCAGGTGTAACACTTGGCGGAATTTCACCAGAAACCTATAAGCATCACATACAAACAAACAGACATGGTTTAACATATTTCAGAAAAACAAGGAAAGCTTGATCATTTGTCTTTGATTTGTTGAAGACTAAAGAACAAAGATAGAATTTTTATGTGTTAAATGAAGAAAAATATGGCCGCATTTGGCAGCTTAGCTTATTCTGCTGCTTATCAGCAAACACATTTTCTTGCAGAAATATGGGAAGGTTCAGCTACATCGCAAATGACTCTAACCAAACTAGCCCTTTATAATTTTCAGACACCTCAAGAGTCATTTGGTAGTTCGATCAAACACATGGGAGGGAAACTAGATGTAACCAACCCAAAGAATTAATAAAGAAAAAGATATCTTGATGCTGAACATTCGTTTCATCCTCACTTACAGGCTGCCCGTTTGTGAGAAGAGGGATTGGCTGCCTAGAAGAAGAAGAAAGATCAACATCTTCCTGCCATTGCCGTCTCGCCTTGCTATTCCCATTGACATAATTGAACTCATTGTCCAGGTCATCAATATCATCCTCATCATCATCCCCATCAACCCGTGGACTCCCTAACAGCGAAAGAACAAAAAAGGTTTCTTTCAGCAAATGACAAAAACTTCTTACTGGTCGTTATAGTAACTTTTCCGCTTATCAACCAGATTATTCGCCAAACACTACCCTGAATGTGTTAATAATGAAAGAAGAAAAGGTAGAGCTGGATGTACTTTTTGGCTTCAGCAATTAATAAATCACAGCCAAACTTACACTACCAAACTGGGTCTTAAATATCTTACAGAGTATTATTTTGGGGAAAGAAACCTTTTTGTCTCTTGTATCTGGTTTTGCACTGGGGACAAGCTTGATTCCCGTCTTTGCGTTCATACTCATAACAAGGCCGGCAAACAGGGAAGGCGCACTCGTTACAAGCAACAAATGCATCCCCACTAGCGGTCACCCCAACGGCATCACCACAAATCTGACATATCTGGCTGTTCAGATTCTTTGCTGGCTTTGGCTGCACTTGAAAAACAGTGTGATTAATTAACTAATACGGAGTATCTCTTACTCAAACTAATATACCAACAGACTAATGCTCAAAGTGGGTTATAAAGATCACATCTTTAATTCAAATGCACATTAGCCAAATTAGGGTCTGTTTGGTAAGAGCTATTTGGACAAAATGGTTAGATTTTCAGACATCAAGAGAGTTTGACAGCATCCATTTCAGCCAAATAATTATGTTCATTCAAGATAAAAGGAAAAATCTGATTAAGTTGATCATGGCTACCAAACTGAGCCTAGATTTCAAGAAATCTGAACATTTTCAAAGAAAATTTCGGCACATTAAGTCTTAAATAGGTGAAAAGATCCAAATTTTAGCTCAAACTCAACACTATACTTCCACCACCCAGATCTAAAGTGTGATCAAACATCAACCGAGAATAAATCAATCCCAAAAAAAACCAAACTTTAACACTTACAACTGAAAACCCACCACTTATTCCCTTCATAATCTCCCAAAATTTCCAAAATGAGATTCAAAAATGAAAATATAATCGATGGGTAGAGAAACAGCTTACCGCACTATCAGAATCGTGGCGGATCCTAACCAGCTCATTCCTCTTGTGAGATCCGGCAACCAGCCCAGCTCCGGCCTCCATTTCTTCTCCCAGAAACGGAGGATTTCACAGTGCAATTTGTCAAATTATTTAACTTTTTCAGAAATGATTTACAACAACAATGCTGGATTTACAGATGAATAAATACATGAATAAATCGAATAATTAAAAATAGATCTGGAGAAATGAGAGAGAGGAAAGGGGGGTGAAGCGGCTGGTGAGTATGATGATTCTTTGGAATGCTGTGAAGAAGTAGACTTATTGCTTTGCCCATCAGCCAAATCTCTTCTGGACAAGACAACCTCTGACATGGGTGTCATTTTCTTTTTTTTGTTGAATGGTGTTGACTCTATTACAAGGTAGTATCTGTTCATACTATTTTCAAGTTAATGACTAATGACGCACAAAGAGTCAATGCTGCTGCCTTCGCTGGGGCTCGAACCTGGGTGAACTTCCCCATGAATCCTGGGGAGTGGGCTTGCTACCACTCTTACGTTTGCTCTGCAGTACGAGCCTCATACAGAGTCGCGCTCCTTAAGCCAGGGGAGAAGTTCGGGTGTCGTTTTCTTGAATTTATTATTTTGTCTTTTTTTTCCTTTTTTTACTTTCAATAATTCGCAGACCGGCTGAACCAGTCTCCCGTCCCCCACACGGCTCGCGAATGGGTTTCGGGCCTTCGGCTTATTGGCTGTCTGGTTTGAACTCGCTTCACCGCGTATCTGAAAATGTCATATCTCATATATTCCTCCAAACTAAAAATAATTTTTTTGCTTTGACTTTATATGTAAATTAAGAAAAAATGTTTTAATTTCCTATGATCTTTATTTATTCTTGGATCATTGTAAAAAGTGAAATAAAGTATAAGTGTGGATAATACTCCGTAATAATTAACAGTAAATGTGAGGTCGTTGATGAGTTTAAAGAAAAAGTTAAAAATACAGAAAGATAATTTATAAACGATTAGATTAACAAATAAAGAAAGTGGAAAGATAAATTATGGACGGTTGGGGTACAAAAAATTGATTTCGATTTAGATCTTCTTATTTTCGTTGGATCCGATTGAATTTGATTTGATTTTATTATGGTATAGAGTAATTCGATCTGATTTGATATTATATTATATTTATATTTAGAGTTATTTCTGATCTGATTACAATAAAAATTGGTAATACAGAGTATTTAATAAGAAGATAAATATATTTCATAAATGTTCTCCAATTACATGTTATTTTCATATTTAGTCCTCAACTTTAAGATTATACATAAATGGTACTCAATTTTCAAAAATTATTTCATAAACTATTTGTGGAAATTTCTTTGGTCATATTTGGCCTAAGAACTATTTATGAAATAGTTATTAAAAATTGTGGACCATTAAAACTATTTTTGTAATAGTTTTTAAAAATTAAAGATCAATGCTCCGTGTGTTTATACACCGGAGGATTTTAGTAATCATTTTCGGAGCATTTTAGTGTGCTTATGTACGAAGAAATCGATGAAGAAAAAAAACGAAAAAACTACCAAGAAATTTGAAGTCGAGAGATTCACAATGCACTAATTGCAAATTTGATCGAATATATTTTCAGTCGCTCAAATAATCAGTGATTTGTTCGTAGTTTAATTTTTTTATGGATGCAATATTTTTATTTAATGAATGTAATTTTTTTATTTAGTCAATGTATTATTTTTTTAATGAATGTAATTTTTTTAATTAACTATTCTCCTTTCGATTCTTTGTAATAATTAAATAATTAAATTGTATTAATTTAAATTTAAAAGATGTATATTTAAAATGTTAAAAATGAAGGTTTGAGGCCCCATTTTTAAGGTCCAGGGCTTCAAACTCATTTTCACTAAAACTATTAGGTAAGTTAAAGCTGACGTGCCAGGGAGAATGTTTGAAGCCTCGGGGCTTCACGGGTATTTCTAGTGCCCTTACTGACAATAATAAAAGATAAATTTTGATCTGATTTAATCTGAATACTGTTATATTTAAAAATATTTCGAAACTAGTTCTAATAAAAATAAGTAATATAAGTAAAAAATAAAGGTGAGATTAGTGTTTGAAAAGGTATTGGGAAATTTGGGATTATACTCAAACGTACTCCGTATTTCTTTTACAATGAAAGAACAATTGAAGAGAGAGTGGGCCCCGGCGGGCTGTGTTGGGTGAGAGTCTGGGAACAGGCTGTACGCCGACGACTACATTTTCCGGTAAGCAGCTGTCGGTGCACCCATTTTGTTAAAAGAAAAAGGTTATCTACTTTTGGTTAATAATAATAATAATAATAATAATAATAATAATAGTATAATAATAATAATAATAAAAATAATAATAATATAATAATAATAATAATAGTTTTTTATTTGAAATAAACTATACTCCTAACATGTTTTTGCTTCTTTTTTAAAATATATTTACTAAATTTTTAATTTTGAGATCAAATCAATTAAAAAAAACAATGTTTATCAGATAATAACTCCTTCCGTCTTAAAATTGTCTTCTTATTCACTACTCATTGGGTCAAACGTCATCACTTTTGTTAGCTTATTTTCATCACTTTTATGATAAAAACAAATTAATTTCACTTCTAGTTTTATAAATATTTTGATATACTCCGTAGTTTTTAAATATATAAATTTCATTTCTAACTTTTATAGAACTTTGTACTAAATTGTATTAAAAATAAATTCAGTCAAATATCATAAAATACAACATAAACTCCTTTGACTTCACAAAATTTAAGAAAAATATTGAATAAGTCAAAAGAGAGTGTTTTAAAAATAATCCCATATGTTTAGAATTTAGATAAATTGACAAAGGAGATAAATAATATTACTCCTGTTTAGTTTGATTGGATAAGTTTCTTAATAAGACTTTAATTGCGTGATTAAAATTTATATTAAAAAAAAAACCTTGTGAATCACATGACTAGACCTGTTAAGGGTATATCCTTTATGTGCAATTGAAGGAAACCCAAAGAGCACAAGTGAATGTAAAAAAGTGACACTATAATCATCCTCTATACCCCTAAGATTTTCTCGTTTTGGTTTTTTGTAATTTTAAGGAGAGATGAGTAAACATTTACCAAAATAGCCTTAATGAAAATGGGTAAAATGTATTAAATGAGGTGTAATAAATAAAGTAAAAATAGTTGTGATATTTTAACATGTTAAAAAAAGTAATAAGAAGATCTACGGAAATAAATAAAAAGGACTAATGAGAAGATCTATAGAGGACAGAGAAAGTATATAACACTCATGTCATACTATGCATTGATTAATTAATTATAATTTTCAAAAATCAGAATTAAGTTCTAACATCACTAGATTTGCATTTATAACAAAACAGCATTTTTACTTCCAAGCATGGCTAAAGACTCTAAGTTGTAACTCTAAAACCTCCAATGGTGGCTCTCATCGACACCGATCTATTTCCGCCCTTCCTGACCGCTGCCGCTAGCGGTGGTGTTCTTCAAGATCTGCAATTTTCGGGACGCGACGAAAGCTACTTGTCAAACATTAACCAAAAGCATCGAAGAAATAAAATAATACTTCTTCTGTCCCATATTTATCTTTCATTTTTTAATATATACAGGGTCAGACTTTATCTTCTTTCTTCATTCTTGGCCTTAAGAGATGGTGATTTGGTCTCAATCAAGTGGTTGGCATGGATGAACTAAGGTGAAATGTCACACAAGTAGTAGGTGCAACTAATACATTGGAAACTTACATGTCTTAGCATTTGGTTTTCATTTTGGAGGGTGGAAACCCGCTCTTCCAGCTCGGCGTTCTTCGTCTCCAACTCCTTCACCCTAACCTCCAAATCTATCAAATACGCCTTCTTCCTCTCCCTCGCTTGTTGTGCCGAAACTCTGTTCCTCAACAACCTTATGAACACCATCCATGTGAAACCAAAAGAATTACAAAGAGAAGTTTGATTATTAGACAAGTTTTCATTTTCAAGACTAGATTTCATGTGCATTTTGGGTTACTTAATGCCCTACTTAGTGTACTTAAATAAGTGCATAACTGTCTCATGGGTTCAAAAAGCTTGTTTGAGCATTTGGACATAGTGTATAACCATGTAAGGAGACATAGATGTGAATTTACCTTTTTAACCTCTTGTTCTCTTTGTCAGCCGGGCTTCTACCCCTCTTCCTTTGACTCCCGGTCGATAGCTGAGTGGGACCAGCTATCGAAGGGCCATCGCGGCTCGAAGCAGTTAGTCCGCCTGCTGCTCCACCCATCTCTGGCACTCTCCTAATCTCCTCATCACTTTCAATTCCTTCATTAGGCAAATAGTTTTTTTTAATCAACTCATTTGAAGCACGGCCTAATCATTGTCGTGAATATGACTTAGGGCAAAGTAAGCTAAACTTGGTGAACTGAACTATGGATTGAGTGATTAAATTACCTTAAAAATACATTAGACAGCATTCATTATTACAGAGTAAATTTTAATGAATTCATGTCATAAAAAGAAACAGCTTTTCAAGTAGTACTTGCAACTTCAAAAGTATGCCTAGTGCATTGAGAGAATCCCAAGAGAGACAACCTCTTAAGATAAAATAGAGCTCTATTCTCTCTTCATTTAAACTATTTTGGGCAACCACAACAAACCCAGTAAAATCCCACAATAATGAAGGATTTGGGTTCTGGAGAGTGCGTTTACACAAACTTTACCCTTACTCAAAATCAAAAAATAGAGAGATTGTTTCCGTTCATAGACAGAAGGACAAAGTACACTATACAATAATACTTCTTCTGTCCCGTAAAGCTTTTCAAAAACAAAAAAAGGCCTTTCTTAAAAATGAGTAATTTTAATATTATTTTTTAATTATGACTTATCTATTCTACATATCATATCATACGTTATTATAAAGTATGGACAAAATTAAAAAAATAATACAAAAAATACGCATTTTTAGGGTGCGTCCTTTTTTTTGTTTTTGAAAAGTTTCATGGAACAGATAACTAATAAAGAGACAAGAAGCATCCATATAAAGACTGCACTAACAAAACCTAGAGACTGAGGTCCACCACAGCTCCCCTTTTGGTAATTCTTGATGATATTTTTAAGAACTAGATTTGGCATAAAATCCAGCAAAATCAAAGCTAAAAAGTCTCAATGCCAAACACAAAAAGTTGGGAATTAATTATCAAAAAATCAGTAAAACTGTTCAGAATTTTCCATTTCCAAAGCTAAAACTGTTCACACTGCATCTTTTTTTTTTACAATACCTTGAGTATGACTTCGATTGTCAAGAAACGGCCTAAAAATTTAATCTTTGACCAAATCAAACAAACCAAGCTTCAAAATTTACTACAGAAATTATATGAACAATGGGTTTTCAGTTTTCACCCAACAAAATAAAATTACCATCTTTGAATTCAAGCTGGAAGGCAGAGCTGGAAGATCTTTCGCTGCTGGAAGGAAGAGAGCTGGCAGCAATGGAGCTTGTAGCAGCTTGCTCCTGCATTTTTCCTCCCAAAAATTAAATAAAGAAACTTTACAGAAAAGATATAAACTCGGAAGAGATGATGGATTTGGGTATCTTGATCTGGAAAAAAGAAAAGAAAAGAAAAGAGCGGGATGGGAATGGGCAGCTGAGCAGAGAGAGGGGGGATGGGATGGCGGAGAAAGAAATGGAGGAGTTGCTAGAGCCGTCCGATTGGGTTTGATCCGACGGGTTTGAGGTGATGACCGTGGAGGCTTCTGGAACAATGGACGGTTGGGAAATCAAAGGCTGTGAGGAGATACGCGTGGAGTGTCTTCTGGCGTTGGATTGGGTTGAGATGATCACATCAAGATTCTTTAGTGAATTGGTTTAAACACATTTTTGTGAGCTTTTTTACTCCGTGAGTATCCTCTAACTTGGTACAGATGATTATCATCTTTATCAGTTATCATTTGTGTCATCTGTGTGAAGTTTGGATGTACTTATGATAGCAAATATTTAGAGACACCCCACCATGATCCAAGTCCAAAACCATTGAGAATGTTCTATAACTTTTATTTGGATGTTTTTCCACTAGTTATTTGAGAAAATAACAAAAACTGTCATTATTTTTTTGTAAAACTTTTTATGTTGTTTTTATATATGTAATTTTTTTTATTTTTATTTTATACCAATTTGTAAATAAAATCATTTTAAAAAGTGATAATGCTAAATTGTTTTGGTCTTTGTCTGAAACAATTTATGTACATTTTGGCAAGACCATCCGGTTCAAATATATTTAGCATTTTAGATTTTTTTTTTAAATTGATGAGATGGATTTTAAATGAGAAAATATTAAAAGTACACACTCTCATTATTAGAATTTTACACAAATGGGCTTTTTATAAATATCATTATTTTATTAAACCTATATTGTCACCAGTAATGTCAATGTATTAAGTTACACATGCAAATGCATAATGTTAAACAAAGAGATAATACTAATGTTGTAATGCCTTGAATCTGACCCGTTACAGCATGGACTGGTCCGGGGGGCGGAGACGCCCCCGGCCCGACGGTACACAATGTTGATGTATTGGGCTTCTAATTATCTGTTAATTCTGTAGTTTTGGACCCAAGTCTGTTAGGGTTTAGCCAAGCACTATTTATATGGGTGCTACAACAAACCCTATGTTGTATTCTGTTCTTTGCCTCGCCATCCGAAATAAAACTGCTCCCCCCTTCCCGTGGACTAGCCAACACAACGTTGGTGAATCACGTTAAATCTGTTGTCGTGTTTTTCCTCGTTTATACTCCCTCCGTCCCCCTATATTTGTCCACTTTCATTTTTACACACCATCCAATGCACTTCTTTAATCCATTTTATCTTGTAATTTGTATATCAAAAAATTATAAAAATTATATATTAAATATCTATATGTTAAGACAAATCAAACAAGATCACACATGACTATATTTAGGCTTACACATTGAGAGAATTTGATGAGTCAAAGTGCTTAGATGAGCAGTTCCAAAAGTCAAATGTGGACAAATACAGGGGGACGGAAGGAGTATTTGTTATTCTCGAATTCCGCATAACAACTAAATATGACAACGTATAACGCAACACGTGAGAATGTATAATGACAAATTAAATATGCCAATATATATTTGTATTATTCTTGGATTTTTTTGTTAATTATAACACTTCGTAATAAATTTTCTTTGTTTGATGATAATGTGTAAAACATGTAGCATTTCATTTGTTTATTGAATTTAATTTACACTTGAATAAATTGATTACAATTAAGTTGGGTCAATTAGCCTGCCCTCCCATTCAAGAGTGTAAAGTTGAAGCCCAATCTCCACCTTCCCTAATCAAACTTCATTACATTGTCTTCTATTTAAAAGAGTTTAAGTTTTAACTCTTATTTTGAGTATGTAACATATATTTTACTCATATTTTAAATGATTTTTTAACTCATTAGAACAAAAAATTAACCATAATATAGGGAATTGAAATTCATTTCATTTATCAATTCATATGAGTTGAACTATATTCAACATGGAGCGAGGATAATCTAAGTGATCCTGAAATGTTTCGTGCTTGCTACCATTGAAAGTTATGGAGCATTTTTCACATGTACATATCATGAATAATACTTCCACATTATATTTTGCGTGCATTAAATATAAATAATACCATTAAAACCCAATAAAATATAAAGTAAGGAGTTTTTTGCAACACAATATTCAACCCTCTAAAGTATATAACCTTTCAAAATTTGATTAATAAATGATACTTATGTTGATTGCTGGTAATCTAGTACACCATAGTCGGTAGTATATAAGAATTACCAAGTGCTCCAAAATAATTAGATCAAAAGTAAGACAATATGAGAGAGGAACAAAAATCTTTGATTTGTATTTCAAGAGTGTGGTTCATTCTAGTCATATTCCTTTTGCTTGGAGCAAATTCTTCCGTGGACCTAAGGTTTATGATCATTATATGAACCTTAGTGCATTTTTAGTATAAAAGAAGTGGGTCTTTTAAAAAAATATCCATATGCAAACCCATGAAAAATGTGAGAAAATCCATATTTTAAATGTAGAATTTGAACCAAGTAACCATCACTCTTAGTTGGTGGTGGTCCTCAGATCTAGTTGCATTCTTGCGGTGTTTCTTTTTCCCATATGTGGATGTTTTTCTTTTGTTGGTTTGGATCACATTTAGTTGTTGACTATGGTGACATAGTTTCATGAAGTACAGATTGAGTGATTGTTCTGTTATCACTATTATGTCCAAACTGGCATGATCTACATCTAAAAAAGTAGCTTCTTTATGCATTAACTATAAGTATAATTGTAAAGTGTTTCTCGACATCACACTATATTCTATAATGAGTTTTCATTCTTAAGATATCTTTATTTTAGGATCAGTATATGGAATCTCATTGCAAGATCTATTTTATGCACTTCAGCTGCTTAATGTGATATGCTTTTTCTATTTCCTCATTTTAAAAGTCTCCATTCTCCAATCTATTGTAAATACCGTTTGACTTTGATACTCCCTTCGTTCAAAAGAAAAATCCCCTTATTTTTTTCTGGGACGTCCAAAAAATACTCTTCTTTCCTTTTTTGGGAAATTTTGAGTGGCTAACAATCGTTCTCTCTCCTCTTTCCTCTGCAACACTTTCAATCATACAATTTCATTTTTTAAACATTATGACAAGTAAAATCGGGATCTTTTGTTGGGACGAAGTGAGTATAATTTATTTTACTTGTTATTAAAAAAAGTGTGATTCGTTCTTCATATTAAAGATGTAATCAAGTTAAGGAAAAAATTGTTTAAATGAAAGAGAATTAATGATTGTCAAGCACTTCTTTCATTTTTTCAAAACACTTTCTTTTTCATTTTTTATTTTTAAAACAAAATACTTTCACTTTTGAATGAAATCACGAACACATTCAAATAAAGTCATTGATATCTATGTCATCTATTTTGCATTGAAAAAAAATACTTAAACAACTAATCTTTCTTTTCTCATTCACAGTAAAGATATAATTAAAAAGTCAAATAAGAAATAAATCTACCAAAAACCAAAATAAGAAATATTTCAAAAAGAAATAGAATATATTTTATCGTCGAGAGAAGTGGGCCGGTTAGAAGAAACAATATCTTTGAATCGTCCGAAGCCGAGGCCGGCAATTCCATTGTGACGGGCGGACCAATTGGCCCAAAACTTTCTTTCTTTTTGCTCAATTTCAGTTTTGAGTCATTTTTCTCGACCCTAGGCCTTGGCCCAAAACTTTCTTTCTTTTTGCTCAATTTCAGATTTGGGTCATTTTTTATTTAGATCGGTGCAAGATCGGGTGTTTAAATTCGATAAAAACTCAAGACATTTTAAATGTGAGTCTTGAAAGAGTATGAAACTTTATCGAATTGAACTACATAGAAAATGAAATTAGTTTGGAAGGGAATCTTTGGATTCCTATATTCACTTTCAAGAATCTCAAATTATTTAATAAAAATCATACACGTGGAATCAATAACAATTTGAAAATATAAATTAGTTACAATTATTTTGTAACAAAATAACTAATCCTCCCGAATTGGAAAAAAACCCAATCATCAATTATGTCTACATATAGTGAAATTTGCACTAAATAGAACTAAAACATAAAGACTTTCCTAATATATGAGTTAAACTTTTTTATTCCCTAAATAGAATTTAATAATGACATTGTGGAGGGAATAATGTCCAGTAATGATGGACATTTACTTGAATAATGACTACTTGATAATGACCAAAAGTCCTACATTGAGAAATAAAAACATATGGTCCTATATTAGGAAAGTTATTATGTCTTAGTCCTATTTAGGTAAATTGCTGTTATGCTTTTATTTTTATTTTTCTCTCTCCGTCCATAAATAAACTTTCCATTCACTGTTCACATAAGAGGTGTCAAGAATACTTTATTTTATCAAATACTCAATAAAAACGTAGAAATAAATAAAAGTTCCTGTGACTGTTGAAAAAACAAGTGTGACAAATATTTTGGGATGGAGAGAATATTAAAATATAAATCAAGAATTTTAAAATATTCAATTTTTAAAATCCTAAGTACACAACCGAAGGAGAAGATGATATATTCATTTCCAGTGTTTGTATAATTGGCCTCAACTACATTATAAATTTATAGACATGAACAGATAAACAGGTTCTTGTCTTTGGGATTGTGTTTAATTCAATTAATTGTTTATGCATGTCTCTGATAAAGTTTGATTACATCCTACTCATCATTTGAAAAAAAAAAATCACCTCAATTGTAAATTGTCTAAAGAAGTTTGGGAAATCATGATCTTGCTTTATAGACTTTTCACTTTTATGAAAATAATAACTTCCAATCTTCAAAAAGAGTGCATTTGTTTGAAATGCATTCACACAGCTCAAATGCCTTGTCAGCGCTTCTTGGATCACCATAGCTCACTGCTTACAAATAAGAATTGAAATTTGTCTGTATTGCATTGTTATCCCGGTAATTTAGTGGATGTGCATCGTCATCCTCTCTGCTTTTAAAATTTACTTCATTCTTTCTGTTGGTTTGAAATCCGATACCAACGATCCTCTTGGACAGCTAAATGTTACTCTCTCCGTTCCCTTAACATGTTCTTATTTTATTTTTTTTTGTGATTTTTAAGGAAAGTTGAAAAAAAGTG